CAATGAAGAATATTTTTAGCTTGATGAATTTGAAATCGCCAAAACCACCACATATGCTTGTCGAACAACCAATGCACAACGTGTCACTCATAGATAATACACATAAATTAGTTAGTGTCACTATTTGGTACGGATTTCAAGTTCGAAGTATCATTGAACCACACTTTTTGGAAACTAAGGTTGGTCAAACAGTTTTTATTTTAATTTTTTATTTCCTTTTTAGGCAGACGAGCATACGGCCCACCTGATGGTAAGTGGTTACCGTCGTTCGTGGACGTCAGCGATGCCAGAAGCAGAGCCAAGCTGCTGCCTACCATGAAGTACTCTCCGCAAACCTCGTTTAAAGAAGGACATGTCATAGCGCTCGGGAAAAACTGTAGAGGGGAGTTCATTTCAAAGCCGGATGGTACGTGGCAGAAAAGATCTTTGGAAGCACACTGTCGATGAACGCAGCGGTTCCAGATTATATGGATGAACTCTGCTCCGATGGCGGGAGATGTGATGATAAAAAAAAGATGAAAAAAGAAAGATAAAAAACTGAACAAATTCAGTTCACCCCACTTGGAGACCCGCCCCACAGAGCTCTCCATAACTTTTGCTGGTGATCGATATCGCGATATGATATCACAGTCCTTTACCTCGAAATTGCTATTGAAAATACTATTGATGTAGCAAATAGGTTGTTACCAATAGACAGTGCCATATGCCATACAGCCAGTAAAACAATTCGATTACTGAAACGGTCTTCTAGATGGTGTGATTTAACAGCGTCAGATTTCTTCTTATGGGGTTAATTGAAGTCAAAAGACTGTTGTTAACAAGTCCCACAAGCACCCATTAATTACAAGAGGAAATTTAATGCTGTATCAATGAAATTCAATCGGAAAGGTCATGAAAATTTTCGATAATATGACTGCTAACGCACTTTGGTGGAGGCATTAACTAAACATAGTTATTCCAAAAATGGCCATATCCTTCATGACTCAATAAAATCAAGACTAAAGAACTTTGTTGTCTATTTAATTCAAACCCTGCGTTAATTTTGTAAACGCCAATAAAAACGCCAGATTATTCATTAATAGTACTTTTAAATATGACTAAATAAACCTATGACTCGCTAAAACCGAAAAAAAAACTACGGTGTTTGTCAACCGGTCACCGATGCCGACGCATACATCAAAATGAATGTTGGCAATCACCTAAAGCAGGGGCTCCCAAACTTATTTTGTGTACTGGCCACTTTGAGAGTAAATTATTTTTTAGCGTTCCCGTTTTTTCACCTACTTAAAATTCACTATAGCGGGAGCTCAGTCGGTGTCCTTCTAGATGAAATTACAAATCGCTTCTTAAGCCTCTATACAACGCACCCATTTTCTGTGTCTCTTACCGCCCCCCTTTAGGCCTGCAGCGCCCACAAGGGGGCGTTTTCGCCCACTTTGGGAAAGGTTGACCTAAAGTAATGAAATCGAAGCTTCAATTTTAAACAAAGTTAAATTAACTTTGCCATCTGGGACGCATAGGACGCATGCTAAAACAGGCAGGATGGTGAAACCAGCCGGATTTCCTACTTGTGAAGGAACTTACGGCAATTTTTTGTACACAATAAGGTAAGGATGCATTTCAAAGGTGCAATTATCGTTACATAATAATAAAATACAGTTGAGATTTCGGTATCTTATCTCATAGTGAGCGACTCACATTGTATTACACATATTGGGTCTTCGGCAACCACTTCACATTATGTGATCCGTTCATTGTCTACCTTCTAGTGAAGTAAAGATAAAAGAATAAACATAAATTAATTAATTACAAGTTTGGTTTTATTAAATATTGACTACGTAAGACGATGCGACAATCTTTAAAATTGTTTCGTAACTACCTTCTCAAAAGTACGAAACGACAACAATGAGGTCACAAAAAATATATGAAAATTAAACTCATTTCAATAGGGTTGACTGTAACTAATCAGAAAATGATGGAACTCGTAATTCACGTCGCCAAAGCAATTACTATCGCATTATCCATTGTGGCACCACCGCGGAACAATATGGAGAAATGTTGTAATGTAAATTTTACAATATTTAATGTACCCAAAAAGTAAGGATAAACTGAATAGTCGTGATCTGCATCGTGACTGAGATTTTGACTGTTTTTTTAATTGTCTCGAAATTGAGGTGTTTTTAATTTCGTGTGATTTTATTCTGTTATTACTGTGTGTCATGAACCGCAATGGGCACAAATCGGTCCATTGTAGATTGGCATTTTTGAAGCTGCTATTAGCACATTATCTTTTTGATAAGTGATGAGAAATTACGTTTATTTTTATTTTTATTTATTGCTTAGATGGGTAGACGAGCTCACAGCCCACCTTATATTATGTGGTTACTGGAGCCCATAGACATCTATAACGTAAATGCGCCTTGTACCTTGAGATATAATTTCTAAAGTCTCAAGTATAGTTGCAACGGCTGCCCCACTCTTCAAACCGAAACGCATTACTGCTTCACGGCAGAAATAGACAATGTGGTGGTACCTACCCGCGCGGACTCACAAGAGGTCCTACTACCAGTTTACTGGTCAAAGTTGTTCATGGATATCGGCTTGTTTAAGGCAAGGATGTCCTCTAGGCTCGGTTTGAAGAAGGGTCTCTGGTGACTCTCGGGGACTGTTGGCACACAATTGGACTGGTGGAACGTATCATTTTCAATTAGTAAGCATGAGCTTGTCTTCGGTCAAAGTTAGTGCGATGTTTGAAGAAAACACACTGGATTCATAGAGCATATAAAATACAGAGAGAACCAAAGTTTCTCCGGGAAACAAGATGTTTCGAACGATCCGTGAGATCTTAAGTCGAGGTTCGGATTTCTGCCGAAGGTAACTTTTAACTAGCGTTTTAGTTAGAAATGTGGATGTTAGTACTACGCAATTGAGACTTCAACTTTAAGCTTCAAAGCGAACGGTTGCCATCTTATTTGTTAGGGATGACTGATTCGAAAACTCTCTTTAGGTCACATCGGTCTAAATCCTGGCAAAAAAGTCAGTAGAGTAGATTACATTAACGGTTGCAATTCTTCACTTCTTAAGAGATAAGCCTGAAGCGAGGATGATATTGCGTGTAATCAGAACAGTCAAGTGAAGTTGGCCATAGCATTCCCGGTGTTTTTACGAAAAAGAAGGTGCTTCAAGTCACTAGCTTCGGAGTCAGGAAGAGCCCTTTTGACGGTCATAATGGATTTCGGAAGCATGCAGCGTAGGATTGGTACACGTTCAAAATGACCCGAGGTGTTCTTGGTTATGTGATAAAAATCCAACGTTAGGTATACCAGCCGTATTATTAAACATATTTAGACCATTATTTCGAATACCTATCTTTTTCAATCGGACTATCCATACTTGTACTAAAGTTATTATTTGTAGTTTGTTGGTATCTATTATTTGCTGTTAAAATAAAAATGGGAATTTTCAAATGCGAAATGGGAATAATTTAACGCAAAATTATTAAACCTAGAGGTCCCGCAGTAGTCGAAATTCGACTATAATTAATTGGAATTGTAAGTTTGTACACTATTATGATTGTATTGTATACTTCTATAATCACAAATTTCGGCAAGACTACACTATAAAAAATATTAACAAAGACAAACAATATTTAATCTATTCTCAATTTGACAACAGACGTCAAGAACAAAAGTTTGATAATAGATAGTATGCATGCGTGTGTGCGTCAAATACATGGTATGTAGTGTGTGTAATGTTTTCTTTATTGATTTAATGTATCCTCTATGCATTATTTAAAAAAAAAATTAGCATTGTGCACTTCTTCTCTATATTCTCTATAAGTGTGGAAAATTTCATACTCCTCCGTCCGCGCAATTTTCGTAAAAAGGGATACAAAGTTTTTGCTTCACGTATTAATATATAGATATGACGTCTAAGTTGTGATGTTTCAAAAACTTTAATATTTTATCTCAAAGGTGGTAGTGGTAATCACGTTGTGATATTAGTGTGTATAAATAGGACACATAAAAGCCCTTCAATGAGATATGAGATTCGTTTAAATAAGTCAATAAATAAAACAATGAAAACGGTCAACGTAATTTACTATATTTTTCTTTTTCTACGAACATACATTCAATAAGTTACTAGTTTTATAATTTATCTAAATTAAATAATTTATTTAACTTTACATATTTACAAACACGAATTTAATGCTTACACTAAAATATCACAGTTCAACAAATAAAGTCTACAATATAGCGAACATTCATTTATGTAAACGCCTACATTGACTACTGAAACGACAGCGGGTAGTTTAATTTAATAAATATTTATCAATAAGTCCGTAAAAGTATGTGAAATAATACTTAAACTTGTAAGATGCATGATCACTTTGCGGAAACGTAGTCAAGAGTCAGTTATAATTGTCGTGGCCTAAAGGATAAGACGTCCGGTGCATTCGTATGTAGCGATGCACCGGTGTTCGAATCCCGCAGGCGGGTACCAATTTTTCTAATGAAATACGTACTCAAGGTGGGTGGCGCATTTACGTTGTAGATGTCTATGGGCTCCAGTAACCACTTAACACCAGGTGGGCTGTGAGCTCGTCCATCAATCTAAGCAATAAAAATAAATAAATAAAAAAGTCAAAGAGCGAACCCGCCTGCTGTAAGAAGCTGAGATTGCCAACACATAGTTCCTGGTTCGGAGGAATAATCAGTGGCCACGATTGTTAAGTTCTTGATGAATGCATCTGATGAATCATTAAAATGTATTTTCGATTATTATTTTCGAATTTTAATACTGAAGTGCTCTTTTATTACATAACTCCAGTAACAATGAGTCCTTGTTTTATTATTATTGTTCAAAAGTTAATTTAATAAATAATCGTAACGAAAGTTTTTCTCTACGAACTTGAGACATTCATATATTCCGTTATTGTTATGTTTTAAATTTAAAGTTAATTTGGATATAATTATTTATTGAATTTGTGTATATTTGAATCTGGAGCCCGCTGCCGCCTCTCTTGTCACTATATTGGTGCCCTAAACAGTCATTCAAATAACTTAGACGAATGAGTTTTGCCCCAAAAATGTCACCCGTTTCCTGAAACAAAGCGTTTTCTACAGTGAGGAAATGTGTGACAGACTTTATGGGTTTATATTGAAATAGATTAACATTTATTGAAATTCATTAATAATTATTTTCCTGATTTTCTCGAGCCGGAGATATAATTAAAAGTAATTTCTCGGTCAATCTCATATTTGTTATTTTTAACAAATATGTGTAAGTGCAGATTAATACTTAAAAAAAAAAACAAAATCGTCATTAGTTAGTTAGTTAGTTTGAATAATACAGAAATATCGACTTACAAATCAGTTACCACGAAAACTACAATTTCCAAAATGTTGATAATTACAGAATTAAACTTTTAATTATCACGAAAAATTAGTAAGACAATAATTAGTGAGTGTGTTCGACTTGCTTGTCTTAAAACTCTGATAGTGGCATTAACGTTTGTTTACGAGAATTGTGTTTTTTGTAGATGTGTACAACTTCTGTTACTTTATAACTTAAAAGATTCATCGATCATCAAATCAATATTAAATTTTCTGCTCACAGCGTTTTTACTAGAGTATGCCAAAAGAATACTCGAAAACACATCGATCGATGATACTTTACAGCGTCTCCATGACTCTACATAAACATTTCAAATTTATATGGACTTTGTCTTTATAATTGACTTAAAATTATATTCTAAAGGTCGGGCCCCGTGACAAAAACAAATGCCATTTCGGGTATCAGGGAAACTGTGTTATGCTAGTGCCATTGTTGTAGTTTCGCCGAATGTACATAAGACTTTACTGACTGAATATAGTTTTTAGGAATTGCAAAACTTACCCAAAAAGTCATAAGAAGAAAATTTGCTGGTTATAGAAGAACTATCATTAAGAAATATACGTTTACTTTTTTACACTCTCAATCTCTCTTTTTCTAGTATAATAATTTATAACGCATATTCTAGACACTTTATTAAATTTATGTACATCGTTATAACAAGCTAGTAATTAAATAAAACAAAAATTGATCATAGGAACGATTTTAAAATACATAGACTTTCTACATTAAAAAAAAAAAAACAATTTAATAAGAATGCAAATAAATATTTTGATAAATTTTGTTTTCACTCGATTCACTCACCTTTAAACAACTAAGATCCTGTGGCTCTAATGTTTGACGTCACATTCCTAACATCTAATACTATTTACGTAGCGAACTGTCCATATGTGGTCCTTATAATTAGTTACTTGAGATCTTCTTAATAAACACACTGGCTCCTGTTGAACAAAAAAGTAAATTTAAATATTTTTTAAACAACAATTTTTCAAACATATTTTTCGAGTTTAGAAGTTGTTTTAAAATTACGTTTAGCATGTCTAATTTTGATTTCTTCAACCAGTGAAATGTTGTAAGTGGATTGAAAAAAACATTATTGTATTTTTAAGACACTGTGTTTCATCAAATTTTAATTACCCTAGTTGTACTCGTTAGTTAATACTGCAAAATTAAACGAAAGTTTTTTTAATTTGCATACCGAATATAAGGTACAGATATATTTTTTATTGCTTAGATGAGTGGAGGAGCTCACAGCCCACCTGGTGCTAAGTGGTTACTGGAGCCCATAGACATTTACAACGCAAATGCGCCATCCACCTTGAGATATAAGTTCTAAGGTCTCAGTATAGTTACAACGGCTGCACGGCAGAAATAGGCGGGGTAGTAGTACCAGTGCGGACTCACATGAGGTCCTACCACCAGTAATAGCAGTAAGTAACAGTTATGTTGTTTTTACTACGAAATTGGAACTAATTATTATTTAGCGTTTGTTCAGGTTATTAATACTTCAAGTACTTAAAGGTATGATTTTCAAGCTTTTAAGAAATAGTTAAATTTGTTAGGTGTTTTTTTTTGTAGATCTCGATTTAATCAGATTTCCTTAATTGTTTCTATTGTAAGCAACATCATAACTGTGTTCTCAGCAATAACAACCATATCGGTTAACCATCAAACACAAGCAAAAAATATAAATAAAATAACAATGTCTTTGCTGAAATGAGTAAACAAGATGAAAATGTGAGTTTCCAAAAAGAGAAGCTTTTATCACTTATTATAAACAAAGTTATCGGTTTTAAAAAAACGCTATCATTGACTTTTATAAAAGGTTTAGTAAGTACTAATGTCGGATTTTATTCTTAAAGTTTTGGGTTGAACACGTACGGTCCAGCATTTTTTGCTTTTACTGGTCAATACGTTGATAGATGTCGCTACATAAATTTCACTACCCATCTTCGGAGATAGCCTCGAAGTCTCAACTGTATTTTGTAACGGCTTTCCCACCCTTCAAACCAGAAAGCATGACTGTTTTGTGGCAGAAATAGGCGAAGCGGTAGTGTCTACCCGAGCATATTTACAATACGTCTTACCTTCTACGTGAAACCGGAAAATTGTTTAGCATTTTCTTTATTTCATAAAACACATTCAGATTTATTTATCAGGCCATGGTATTAATCCCCAAATTTGTATCAAAATTTCTACATAAGATTACTTCACAAGTGTATATAAAAATTATGAAGGTTCTGTGTGTTTGCTACTTTAATATTTTTTTCGTTTATTTATTCGAAAAGGTGATTGATGATGACGACTCTTAAAAAAAAAAAGTTTCAATTTTTGGCACTTTGAATGAGCCGCTGCTAAATATAGCAAAGGCTTAGAGAATAGAACTGAATAATGTAGGTTACAATTTTTTATCTCAAATTCAAAGTCAATTGCTGCAGTTTTTCTTTCAAAATTACAGTTGAATTGCATCGGCAAAAACTTCAATGTTGCAGTTTGTTTAAACCACATTTATTAAGAAATCTAACATCGTTTTATCAGGGTTTTTAATAGCTTTGCATGATTCTTTTCAGATTGATATGAAAGATATAAGGATTCCGGTACGTAATGAAGACGTACGATTAACTTGATAATTTGCAAACATATCAACGACCGATGCCTATACATTTTTTTTTTGCTTTTTCTTTTGCCCTTGTAGGCAAACGAGCATACGGCCCACCTGATGGTGAGTGGTTACCGTCGCCCATGGACTTCAGCAATGCCAGGGGCAGAGCCAAGCCGCTGCCTACCGCAAATAATTAAGATAATTATTTAAAAAAGAGCTATTTGATTTTTTAATTTATTTTACTTTTAAAGCACGTTATTTTGGTGTTAAGTATTTTGTGCTGTGTTAGATACAAACTTTTAATATATTGTGTTATTTTTGACCTTGTGTTTTGATTTTCTATTGCACCAAAAATCATTTCGCAATAATGAGTGCAGCACAGTGAGTGTTGCCATCTACCTTGAATAATTATTTTTTGATATCATTTGAGTACCTAATGGTTTGTCTACCTTTTTATTTGATATAAGTTATTTATCACGGTCCGAAGATGGAAACACCTATTCCTGCAGGGGAGAACTTGACATATATTTAATGCAATTTTCAGAATAGCACCAGCTTCTGATTTTCTAATGAGACCAGGTTGAATAGTAAGTACAGGAAATATATGAGACTAATTTTAATAAAAAATAAATAAACTGAAATTAAATACATTGAAATCACGCCGTATACTTTAACATCAGAGAATTCAATAGAGGAAAATTATGCAACTATTCGAATTGCTCATTTCAAATTACTAATGCATTTTCAAATTTTCCCGCATTTTTTGTTTCTTTTGTTTTTGACATTTCGAAAAAATCTATATATTAATACGTGAAGCAAAAACTTTGTATCCCTTTTTACGAAAACTGCGCGGATGGAGGAGTATGAAATTTTCCACTCTTATAGATAATATAGAGAAGAAGTGCACAAAGCTAATTTTTTTTTTAAATAATGCATAAAAGATACATTAAATCAATAAAGAAAACATTACACACACTACATACCATGTATTTGACGCACACACGCATGCATACTATTTATTGTCAAACTTTTGTTCTTGACGTCTGTTGTCAAATTGAAAATAGATTAAATATTTTCTGTATTAAAATTTTTTTATAGAGTAGCCTTGGCGAAATTTGTGATTATAGAAGTATAAAATACAATCATAATAGTGTACAAACTTACAATTCCAATTAATTATAGTCGAATTTCGATTACTGCAGGACCTCTAGTATATATAAATTGATAACAAACAATAAAGCTCGTTAACAAGATAAAAATAAGAAAAGCGGTTCACAAACTGAAGAGAAAATTATACTTAAGTTTTTATCTATTTATTTTAAAGATATTGTTGTCAAACATGTCACATATGTACCTACCTACATTCATATTATTTAGATGCAAATATATTCTCTAAATATATAATCTAAATATAGTCTATTATCAAGTTACTCCAAGTGAACGATATATAATTAATGTACTGATATTTTCCCGCAGCCGAGAAGGTAAGATGCTGAAGAAGGTAAGTGTCCCGGTGACAAAATACCTATGCCATAAAAGTGCCAATTGCAATTAAATAGTGATATCATGAAATTCGATTGCTATTAATGTCTTTGTGGATTATCTATCCTTCTAGTTGTTTAAAAAGCCGTAAGAAAACCCCGATTTTGAAACATTATTTATTGGTGCTCCGCTTGCATTGGTCTTAGCGTGATGTTATAGGTATAGCCTAAAGCCTTTCTCGATAAATGGGCTATCTAACACTGAAAGAATTTTTCAAATCGGACCAGTAATTCCTGAGATTAGCGCGTTCAAACAAACAAACTCTTCAGCTTTATAATATTAAAAAAAAGTATAGTATAGATAAATAATTTTGTAGCTACTAAGTTCTTTTACTGGAGAAGAACAATGAAATGCACTACTTTTTTTTAAAGTACATAAGTCGGTAAGGGTCAGCAATACCGACAGACCTATTTCGCCGTGAAATACTATTCGCGTTCTGCTCTGAAGGATAGAAAAGTCATTATGTGAACTATTACCATAAGATCGACTGGAATTAATTAATTAATGGAATGGTCGTTTTGGAGCATCACCGTATGTAGCTATTAGTCACAATTTTTTTTTTTCATCAGAGAGGTTAGAATATCTTTGAATACTTATTGCAACTTGTATTTTGATAATTTGATTAGATAGATATAACTAAATCAAATCAAATCAATCAAATCAAAAAATTTTTATTCAACATAAATGAAAGTACATACTTGTTGAACGTCAAAAGAACTACCGCCAATTCACAAGAACTAGCCTCCGTCCTGAGAAGAATTGGCAAGAAACTCAGCGGGCATGTTTTTTTTTTTTTTTTTTTAATAAATTATTATTTATTAATTTTGTAATATTACATTTTTTTTTTTAAATATGAGTTTTTTACAATGAGTATTATAACGTAACAATTACTACAATATTGAAATGCCCGGAGCGAGCAACTCATTCCCACTTTGTGCAATCTTCTAGATAATCATTGACTTTATAGTAAGCTTTATTGCACAGATGTTCTTTAACAGTTTTCTTAAACCTATGTATAGGTAGGTTCTGAACATCTTGTGGGATTTTGTTGTACAGGCGCACAGAGAAACACCCGAATGAATTTCGTATCTTATGTAACCTACTCATCGGCACAACAAGCTTGTGTTTGTTCCTAGTATTTCTATTATGTATGTCCGACTTTTTAGGAAACTCCTCAATATGTTTACGAACATACATCAAATTTTCAAAAATGTACTGGGATGGCATAGTGAGAACTTTAATTTCTTTAAATTTCTCCCTCAGGGATTNACAATGGTGGCACTCTGCCGTCGGCTCGGCTCCGATCCGGTGCAGGAACTCACCGAAGCAACCATGCCCAGTGAGCACCTGCGTGAGCCGGAAAGTGAGGCGTCCTCTGTCACGATTCACCCAGTCCACAAGGACTGGGCGAATCGCCTCGACGGTCCTACGACCAGCCGAAGGATCGGCCAGCCGCCTGGACCATGATTCCAGCAATTATCCCCCTTATTTATATCGAAATTTCTACATAAAATTACTTCGCAAGTGTATAAAAATTATGAAGGTTCTGTGTGTTTGCTGATTTTATATTTTTTACGTTTATTTATTCGAAAGGGTGATTGATGATGACGACTCTTAAAAATAATAGTTTAAATTTTTGGCACTTTGAACGAGCCGTTGCTAAATATAGAAAAGGCTTAGAATAGAACTGAATAATGTAGGTTACAATTTTTTATCTCAAATTTAAAGTCGATTGCTGCAGTTTTTCTTTCAAAATTACAGTTGAATTGCATCGGCAAAAACTTGAACGTTGCTGTTTGTTTAAATCACATTTATTAAGAAATCTAACGTCGTTTTTAATAGCTTTGCTTGATTATTTTTAGATTAGATGATATGAAAGAGATACTGGTGGTAGGACCTCTTGTGAGTCCGCGCGGGTGGGTACCACCACCCTGCCTATTTCTGCCGTGAAGCAATAATGCGTTTCGGTTTGAAGGGTGGGGCAGCCGTTGTAACTATACGTGAGACCTTAGAACTTGTATCTCAAGGTGGGTGGCGCATTTACGTTGTGGATGTCTATGGGCTCCAGTAACCACTTAACACCAGGTGGGCTGTGAGCTCGTCCACCCATCTTAGCAATAAAAAAAAAAAAAAAAAAAAAAAAAAAAAATAAGGATTCCGGTACGTAATGAAGACGTACGATTAACTTGAAAATTTGCAAACATATCAGAGACCGATACCTATACAATAATTAAGATAATTATTAAAATAAGAGCATTGTTATTTTTTGATTTTATTTTACTATTAAGGCACGTTATTTTGGTGTTAAGTATTTTGTGCTGTGTTAGATACAAACATTTAATATATTGTGTTATTTTTGACCTTGTTTTTTGATTTTCTATTGCACCAAAAATCATTTCGCAATAATGAGTGCAGCACAGTGAGTGTTGCCATCTACCTTGTATAATTATTTTTGGATATCATTTGAGTACCTAATGGTTTGTCTACCTTTTTATTTGAATTAAAGTTATTTATCACGGTCCGAAGATGGAAACACCTATTCCTGCAGGGGAGAACTCGACATATATTTAATGCAATTTTCAGAATAGCACCAGCTTCTGATTTTCTAATGAGACCAGGTTGAATAGTAAGTACAGGAAATATATGACTAATTTTAATAAAAAATAAATAAACTGAAATTAAATACATTGAAATCACGCCTTATACTTTAACATCAGAGAATTCAATAGAGGAAAATTATGCAACTATTCGAATTGCTCATTTCAAATTACGAATGCATTTTCCCGCATTTTTTTGTATCTTTTGTTTTTGACATTTCGAAAAAAAAATATAAATTGATAACAAACAATAAAGCTCGTTAACAAGATAAAGAAAAGAAAAGCGGTTCACAAACTGAAGAGAAAATTATACTTAAGTTTTAATCTATTTATTTTAAAGATATTGTTGTCAAACACGTCACATATATACCTACCTACATTCATATTATTTAGATGCAAATATATTCTCTAAATATATAATGAACGATAGATAATTAATGTACTGATATTTTCCCGAGAAGGTAAGATGCTGAAGAAGGTAAGTGTCCCAGTGACAAAATATGCCATAAAAGTGCCAATTCCAATTAAATAGTGATATCATGAAATTCGATTACTATTAATATCTTTGTGGATTATCCATCCTTCTAGTTGCTTAAAAAGCCGAAAGAAAACCCCGATTTTGAAACATTCTTTATTGGTGCTCCGCTTGCATTGGTCTTAACGTGATGTTATATAGCCTAAAGCTTTCCTCGATAAATGGGCTATCTAACACTGAAATAATTTTTCAAATCGGACCAGTAATTCCTGAGATTAGCGCGTTCAAACAAACAAACTCTTCAGCTTTATAATATTAAAAAAAGTATAGATAAATAATTTTGTAGCTAATGAGTTCTTTTACGGGAGAAGAACAATGAAATGCAATACTTTTTTTAAAGTACATAAGTCGGTAAAGGTCAGCAATACCGACAGACCTACTTCGCCGTGAAATACTATTCGTTTTCTGGTCTGAAGGATAGAAAAGTCATTATGTGAACTATTATCATAAGATCGAATGGAATTAATTAATTAATGGAATGGTCGTGTTTGGAGCATCACCGTATGTAGCTATTAGTCACAATTTTTTTTTCATCATAAAGATTAGAATATCATTGAATACTTATTGCAACTTGTATTTTGATAATTTGATTAGATAGATATAACTTGTTGTTGATATCTAATAAATTCTAGATCTATTTTCACTACATTAATTTCTGGTTTTTTAGAGATGGTATTTAATTAAAATAGTATTTTATAGAATTAAAATGGTATTTTCAGACATAAGTGTATTGCATCATGTTGTTCAAGGAATTTTTAATCTTTAATCGTATATGGTGTTGGAATATTGCAAAAAAACCTTTTGTTTGTTGCTGGGTAATTTTTTAAATAATCTCTAATTACCATTATCATGAAACCAGTAAATTTGACCTTTGTGTGTCTTTAAATAAAGTCATCATTGGCTTCATTCTATACAGATCAATTAGCCTATATTTTATGTAATAAAATTTCAGTTTTGTATAATCTTCTTCGTCTTAATAGCCTCAAAACACTTTTCTAATTTCAACACAAAGCATGAAGGTAATAATTACTTGAACGCTTTTAAGATTTATTTATTAATAATGCGGTGTATAACAATCCGAATATGTTTTCAGAGATACTGTACTTTGATCGTAAATAGAAAATACATATCTTATCTAAACGGGTATTGGGTAACGGGTAAGAAGGGAATGCTATGTCACAGGGTAACATTTTTCGAGGTAACGGCTCCACTCTCATAATGCCACTGATGTGACATCATCCTTGAAAAGCAATAACAGTTTCAGTTCATTACAGAAAAAAATAATACAGATTAAAAAAAATATATTTTTTACTTTCTTTAAAAATAAATAACGAATACAAAACTAATAATTTTTCAATAAATGCCCGATGTCAGTAAAAAAAAAGTAAAATGCTGTAAAATGATTCTTTGTTGCCTACTCGGCATTTGTTGAATGAGATGCTCGTAGAATTTCTTGAAATTAGGGGTGCGTTTTTTTTTATAAGAAGAGAAAATGTCCATGTATTTTTGTAAATCATAACGATCTATTTGTTTTTACTGCTCGTAGGGCGTGTACTCAATGCTCTTAAAAGTGAGTACCACCAACCTGCTTTTTTATGTCGCGACGCAGGATACTTTTCGGTTCGAAGGGTTGTGATACCCGTTGTAAAATAAAATTTATATTTCGGCTCATGTCTCAAGGTGGGTGATGGCATAGAAATCGCGATAGTAATAGCTTAAGCAAGTAGATCTTACAGCTTATATTTTTTAATTGACAATGTAAAATGTCACTAGATTGTAGTAGTACTCTTTGCGGGTTCAAACGCATTCTAATATAGATGATAAATTTTTGACCATGCGTAACGCTTCGTCCCATTGCAGAATAAGATTTTTTCAGTGTTAAAATATAAATGCTTGATTGGTTTAGTTCAGCCTTGAGAGGTAGGTATCTTTGGATTGCTAAAGGTTTGATTGCTTCTTCATAATTTAATAACAAAAAAACAAATGCTAATAGAATACGCAATGTAATGCAAATATCGGACATGCAATATATTGAAAATTGATTTTGTTGATAAATTTTACAGTTTTTTTAAAGGCTATGTGGTCATTGTCCACAGTATTTAGACTCAAACTATGCGTTCAACTTTCTAAGTTCATTAACATCTGTTTGTGATAGTATTTTGAATAATTAAACAAACAAGTATCTATTAAAATAAATATGTATTCCAAACGAATCTTTTTTGGCTTCAAGGTATAATTTAGACCCACGCCAAAGGTATCATCGTAACGAAATAAGGAAAACACGATCAATTGCGTTATTGCTTACAATTTAGTGCGATTTCGTGACTCTTTTAATATTAAAGATAATCATGGATAAAAATATATCGCCTTTTTAGTTGATCAGACCACTTGGTTCGATATCCGCTCGGAATCAATTTCTTTGCGAAAATAATTTTAGTAATGGATCTTAGTGGATCTACTTATGTGTGTTTTCTTTTCCACAAGACAGAAAGCACGAATTTTTTTATATACTTAAGTTGGTAGCCTTAGAGGACTATGTCAACGTCGTGGAATAGGTGAGCTCACGGGGCTCTAACTTGGTGATGAAATTTTGATTTTGGGGCCGTTGCATGCAATATTTAATTAATAATAATGTACAAGGAAATCTTGATTAAACCACTATAATACTAAAATAAGACATATTGTGTTTTTCTGTTCGGTCTCTGCGAATTGGTGTTAATGGTGATGAATTATTCGGTGAAATTCTAAAGCCGATTATCTTATATTAATACAGGTTAGTACGTCCGTTTTGGTACCGGATTAGATAGCAACATAATTTAAAATTAATCTCTTACCATTCATGAGTTTAGTGTGTAATGTGAAAATTGATTTGATTCCCGCCATGTCCAGAGAGGTGGTAGACAAGATTGCTGTAATCCCGCTAGTAGTTCTGCGTGGTATCTCTGCGCGGCGAGCAGGTACGGGGCCGGCAGGGGCAGGGGGCAGTGAGGCTGTAGTGGCGGTAGCTGCAGAGGCGGAGATGGCGACGAGCGACGAGGATCGGGCTCTAATAACGCGTCTATAGTGAACGCCCTTCTCGGTCGAGGTGCCACAGGTAATAAGGCTGCTGTATCCGGTGCTTCTGTTGATTCTGGGCTCAACCGTGACATGTATGTCGACGCTGATGGATACAGTCCACCACTAGAAGCATTCGTTGGTGTTGGAGGAGCGCTTGCTTGTCGTGCCAAGAAAGCTCTGTTGAAGCTTGCGAGCGCTGCCAATTCTGCATTTAGGCTGTCTTTTTCACCTTTGTGCAGCTTAAAACGTTTTCGCCGACGAAGCAAGGAGCCGTTTTCGAACATGTCAAACGCCTGGGGATGCAGGGTCCAGTACGCGCCCTTGCCGGGCCGGTCGGGGCGGCGCGGCACCTTCACGAAGCAGTCGTTGAAGGACAGGTTGTGTCGCAGCGAGTTCTGCCAGCGCTGCGTGTTGCGCCGGTAGTACGGGAACCGATCTGTGATGAACCGGTAGATCTCCGACAGCGGCAGCATACGCTCCGGGGAACTCCAGATCGCCATCGCGGTCAGGGCTATATATGAAAAAGGTGGCTTTTGATCACCGTAAGATTCACGTGTCGGCCGAGGCATCGTTTAGCGCGAATATTTCAGTCGTTACGTGGTTTGATCACTGTTTTTGTGCGAAATTTTAAAGGGGAGACGTCTCTCACAGCGGAGTGGAAGATAAGGACTGAGTGAGTGAGCGAGACTGCGTGTATGAGGCGTGAATGTCCGCGGCGCCGCCTCGCCCTCGCCGGGCCAATCGCGTGCCTTCATGTTTGTTTGTTGTTTTTGTCGGCTCCGGACCCGTTACAGAGGAATTTAAATTGTTATCACGTTTACATTATACAAAATTTATTCGACACCGACAACTCTTGAGCTTGTTTCAAAATTGCGATGATTAAAGAAGTAGGCAGATACTTATTGATGCTTCGGTAAAGAGGTTATAGCACTGAACATGGCCAGTGTACCTACATACTTTCTACATTCTTTACTGGTGGTAGGACCTCTTGTGAGTCTGCACGGGTAGGTACCACCACCCTGCCTATTTTTGCCGTGAAGCAGTAATGCGTTTCGGTTTGAAGGGTGGGGCAGCCGTTGTAACTGAACTTGAGATCTTAGAACTTATATCTCAAGGTGGGTGGCGCATTTACTTTGTAGATGTCTATGGGCTCCAGTAACCACTTAACACCAGGTGGTCTGTGAGCTCGTTCACCGATTTAAGCAATAAAAAATAAAAAAAACATAGTCGACATAATCTTAAAATATAAAACGGGTTTTCAATTATGCTCTAAGTTATTAAGCGAATTTAATTTTAATGATCAATGTAATAAAATAGCGTATTCTATTTCAAAATATGTCCCGTTCGTTTATAGGGTCGAATGCTGAAGCTAGTTTATATTATTGTAAATTAAATGCAATTAGTAAACGTTATGTAGTAGTAAAGTAGGCTTCAATACTTTAACTAGACAACGAGACACATCCAGATACGCGTCTGCCGTGAAAGATGTTCGTTTCTGAAGCACTGTTCTTGCCAAGCCGCTGCCTACCGTTTTCTCCACAAGCCTCGTTTGAAGAACGACATGTCATAGCACTCGGGAAACACCGTGGACGGGAACCTAATCGAAAGCCCGATGGTACGAGGCAAAAATGATATCTGGAAACGCACTGTGGATGAACGCAGTGGCTCCAGGTAGTATGGATGAACTCTACTCCGGTGGCGGGCGGTGCGATGGTAAAAACGAGCTGATGGAATCATCTCAAATAACTCCTCAGAGCACTCCCCGTGGAACATCATCATCATCATCATCATCAGCCTTTATCTGCCCACTGCTGGACAGAGGCCTTCCCCAATGCCTTCCACATAATGCGGTCCTCCGCCTTCCGCATCCAACGACTTCCAGCCGTGCGCACTAAGTCGTCAGTCCACCTGGTTGGAGGACGCCCCATGCTCCTTGTACCCATCCGTGGTCTCCATTCGAGGACTTTCCACCCCCACCTGGCGTCGTTGGCTCGACAGATGTGACCGGCCCATTGCCACTTCAGCCTGCTAGCTTTGAGAGCTATGTCGTCGACTTTGGTTCTCCGTCGAATTTCTTCGTTCCGGAATTTGTCCCTTAGAGAAATACCTAGCATAGCTCTCTCCATCTCCCGCTGTGCGACTCTTAACTTATGGGCCAGCCCTCCCGTCAGTGTCCAGGTTTCCGCGCCGTAGGTCATAGCGGGGAGAATGCACTGGTTAAAGACTTTTGTCTTCAGGCATTGAGGAGTTTGCGAGGTGAGGATTGCACGGAATTTCCCAAATGCCGACCAACCCGTGGAACATACTTGTACAAAATACAGAGAAACGCGAAGTCCCTCCGCAGATCCAAAGGTTCCAAACGATCCGTGAGAATGAGATTATCAACAATCCGAACGGCCCTCTTCTGTATGGAGTCAAATGGAAGTAGTAATAGTATTAAAAAACTCTCTCAGGTTGAGTCCGTGAGCTCAATCTTTTTTTTTATTGCTTAGATGAGTGGACGAGCTCACAGCCCATCTCTCCTATTCGCTGGTAACCTAGCTGGCTATTCCAACTTCTCGCGTACGGGTAGGCCCGTTGCCAGCGAATAGGTAGAGGAAAAAGAATCGTTTCGGTTTTCTTCGGTTTTCACAAGACGTAAAAATAATGAGAACTACTTTTAAGGTATTGATCCCGCGTATCTTACTTCTGACCATTCGAATGTATTATAGCTTACGAATTATAGTTACGAAAAAACTAGAAACACCATTAGAAATACTTAAGTTTTTATTTTATTTTATTTTTATTGCTTTGATGGGTGGACGAGCTCACAGCCCAACTCGTGTTAAGTGGTTGCTGGAGCCCACAGATATCTACAACGTAAATGCGTCACCCACGTTGAGATATAAGTTCTAAGGTTTCAGTATAGTTACAACGTCTGTCCCACCCTTCAAACCAAAACGCATTACTGCTTCACGGCAGAAATGGGCAGGGTCCTACCCATGCGGACTCACAAGAGATCCTACCACCAGTGACCTACCCGTGCGGACTCACACGAGGTCTTACCACCAGTAAAGCTTCCGATTCTATTGAAGTGTACCCACTCAGGGCTTTTTGATATTATTTACGTCTTGTCCGTGTTGATACTAAGGCCTACTGATACCTACAGTCCCTACATACACACGAAGTTAATAAGAGCGTGTTTATGAAAATAGATCTTCTTGAAACCAGCACCAAAGAAAATCCTTTCAAGTTACCGCCGCACTACGTTCACAGACATCTATCAGCACGCTGACCACGCAGCGTTAAATCGTCTCCGCAAATAGCTCCATTATATTCAATCTTCGGTACAAGGGGACAGAAGCGACCCTTTCTGTACTGTATAATTTAGAGGTATTAACTTACATATGTGCCATTATTGGAAGAATATATTGTATATCAAATATATAATATTATAAAATTTATGCATTGATCAAGCTATGTAATGAATAGCTATGTATTGAAATTGGCTGAAGACGTTAATCCAATGGTTATGAATAAATAGTAACTAGTCTGGCAATAAATACTGTTACATAAAACTTTTCTTTTTTCATGAAACTTTTTGATTATTTTAAATTTAAAACATGTATATTATTATTATTTTTTTATTTTGCCCCATTTTACATATTTTTTTGTGTACATTATCAAATTACAATATGGAATGGGGTGTTGAAGAAATTAGGATTGCAGTGATCGCCTTGCACAAGATGGGTATGGAGCTTTCGGTCATATTCTAGATACTTCAAGAGCTTGGTATCAGCCGTATGTTCATATATTGTACTATCAACAGATATAACAACACTTCATCTGTCGACGACCAGAAAAGACGTCACTACCAGAAAACACCGGTGCGGCCGCGTGCTGTTAGAACTACAAAGGCTGTTAATGCTGTTAAAGCCAGAATTTGTCGAAACCCCATTAGAAAGCAAAAAATCTTATTTTATTTATTTATTTTTTATTGCTTAGATGGATGGACGAACTCACAGCCGACCTGGTGTTAAGTGGTTACTGGAGCCCATATACATCTACAACGTAAATGCGCCACCCAGATTGAGATATAAGTTCTAAGGTCTCAAGTATAGTTACAGAGTCCTAGCGAGAAATAAAGATTCTCGCTAGGATTCTATGGCGTATTATTATAAAACAAGACCTGAAGCTTGGTGCTTGTCGTCGATATGCAGGACATGCCCTAAATGAATCTTTACAACTAAACAGAGTGGATCGATCAAAATGCCTTCTGTCGCGATACGCAGGTGAAAGGCACAGAAATATCCTCTTTACCGATGAAAAATTTTTCACGATTGAAGAATACTATAATAAGCAAAATGATAAAATGTACGCTCACAGATCTAAAGAAGCTGCTCAAGTGGTCGGAAAGGTCCAACGTGGTCATCATCCAACGTCAGTGATGGTTGGGTGGCGCGTGTCTTATCAAGGAGTCACCAAACTACATTTTTGTGAAAAAGGAGTGAAAACTTCAGCCAAAGTGTCAAGATTCAGTCTTGGATCATGTTGTGAAATGTTTCAGCCATAAACTTTTTAAAAATGGCCTTTTAAAAATTTTTGAAATGGATATGGCCTGCTTGCTCTAAACGAAACGGCGACATTGAGTCTCTTAAAAAATGTTTGGAGCAAGCAGTGGCGAAATTTCCCTTGGAAACAACGCGTAAATCCATCGATTTGTAGCCAAACAGCTTAAAGGCATGTATAAAAGCCAAAGGTGGCCATTTCGAATAGAATTTTATTTTTATTTTTTGCCGAGGCTTTAATAAATATCTACATAATTTTAATAATACTACATTACTTCATTTAAAAAAAATGCATTTGCATTTGTAACAGAACATATGGCTGGAATAGGTAAATACGATAACATGTATATATGTATATGTCAATCGTTCGTGACAAGAAAAAATGAGAAGTATTCGAAACATCGCAATGACAATAAAAATTCAAGATTATGGCTTAATAAATGTAATTTTAATTACCTCTTGTTAATTATTTAAAATCGATTACTAATTATGAGCTTCGGTACTCGTAAAAACTGAGTATGTTTCTATTTTAAGTTTCAATTGCTATTTACTGATTCAAGTTTCTAGTTGAAGTCCTGTTATTTATAGTCTTCTTTAAATTTCACGGTGATTTAAGTTCAAATCGATCTATTACAGCACATGAAGCTTTTTTGCACAGCCCCATCCTAAGCGAAGGGGCAACAAACAACTGCCGATGTCCTAGAAATGTCCTTTTGAATCCTCTCGAATCATTCTCAGTGCTCTTAGTCATACTGAGCACTAGTTACCGTTATCGTCGAACTTGTCGTACACGACGATGACACAAGCCACTGAGTTTCTCGCCGGATCTTCTCAATAGGTCGCAATTCCGATCCGGTGGTAGATCTAGCAAAGCACTGCTATTGCTAGATTAGTAAGTTTTCTCAGGTTAAGTGCCGTGAGCTCACTTATCAGTCCGCGCGAAGTTGAAATGACTCCATAAGCTAACCATGAGAAAAATGCGTAACCGTTTTGACGTGACATTTCTCAATCCGGTGGTAGATTCAACGAAGCATTTCCAGAATGACCGTTGAAGGTTTCAACGGTAGACAGCGACTTGGCTCTGCCTAGTAGCAAGCAAC